GAGACAGGGTTTCTCTGTGTAGCCCTGGCTGTCCTGGAACTCACTCTGTAGACCAGGCTGGCCTCGAACTCAGAAATCCACCTGCCTCTGCCTCCCAAGTACTGGGATTAAAGGTGTGTGCCACCACCACCTGGCGCACAACTTCTTTTTAAAAAAAAAAAATCATTATTATTAGTAGTAGGGTTTTTTGTCTTTCTTTCTTTCTTTCTTTCTTCCTTCTTTTTCTTTTCTTTTTTTTTCTTTTTTTTTTTTTGAGACAGGGTTTCTCTATGTAGTCTTGACTGTCCTGGAACTCACTCTGTAGACCAGGGTGCTGACCTCAACTCAGAGGAGATGCCCCTGCCCCTGCCCCTGCCCCTGCCCCTGCCCCTGCCTCTGCCTCCACCTCCGCCTCCACTGCCCAGCTTCTAAGACAGGATCTCACCTTGCCCTGACTAGGCTCAGACTCCCTATATAGCCAACCTTGAGCTATTGTCTCCACCTCTGAGTGAGCATGCCACCACACTTGGCTTTAAGCACACAAAGATTTTATGCATGTGCACATATAAACCACACAAAGAGTACATGTATGTCACATATGGAGATGAAGCCAGTCTCAGGTGTCTTCCTCAACTGCTCTCCACCTTTAAAAAATATGATTTCTTTAATCCAAGTATGCTGGTGGCCCACACCTTTAGTTCCAGCACTGGAGAGACAGAAGCAGGTGGATCTCTGAATTTGAGGCCATCCTGGCCTACAAAACAAATTTCAGGCCAGCCAAGACTACAGAGAAACTCCATCTCAGAGAAACAAAAATAAACAAATAAAAAATAATGTCCTTAAAAAATATTACATAGATTATTTGTGTGTATGTGCATGCACATACATGCAGCACAAGTGGACATGTGACAGAGAACTCTCAGGAGTTCATTCTCTCTACCGTGGGGTACTGGGAATTGAACTCAGGTGGTCAGGTTTTGTGCCAAGTGAACGATATCAGCACCCCTAACCCTTATGTTCTGAGACAGGGTCTTCCCACTGAACTGGCTGGCGAGCACCAGAGGTCTTCCTTCTGTCTCCTCAGCACTGAGGTTACAGGTATGAGCCACACCCCAGTTTTTATGTGGGTGCAGGGATCTGGCCTTGGGTCATCATGTGTAAGCAGCAAATACTTTACCCACGGAGCCATCTCTCCAACTCCCATATTTTCCGAACTATGAAATCATAACATGGCCAGGCAGTGGTGGCTCATCCCTGTTAGCCCAGCACTCAGGAGGCAGAGGCAAGCAGATCTCTGAATTCCAGGCCAGCCTGGTCTAAGAGAAAGTTCCTGAACAGCCAGGACTACACAGAGCAACCTTGTCTTGAAAAACAAAAAAACAAAACAAAACAAAAAATAAATGAAGGAACAAAAGATCCTAACACGAGGCTCTAGTAAGGACTTATTTCTGAGTCTGTTTGGTTTGGATGCTAGGTACTGAACCCAGGGATTCATATTTGCTCCATAAGGGCTCTACACTGAGCCATATGCCCAGATCACAGTTGGTTTTATTTCTATGAAGGGGGGAAAAACTTACATAGTTACAGACATTCAAGCAGCAAGCTATTTAATGAGTCTTTATTGAAAACAAAATATCATAAAATGATCAATTTAGTGACATTGTTTAAAATGCATGCAATACTTGTATTTGTGCAGAATGCAGGAATTTCATTCAGGCTGTAAACACCCCTGTTCCAGAGCCTGGTCCATGTGGCCCTGGCAGTGATGTCACCACGCCACACAATTGTCTTAGAGACCATGGCACCTCTTGATCCTTCTCACTAAATTCTGTTTGCTTTACTCCTACTCATCAAAACCTGCTCAGGGCTGAGCCCTCTGGGCTTATCTTCTGGGGCAGAGCTGCATACCTAGAAAGTCCTGCCTCACTGCTCCAGCCTGGCCACAAACCACCCACAAGTCCCTTTTGACTCAGCAGGCTCCAACATGACTAACCACTGGCAGAAACAATGTTGGGGAAGGGGAGAGAGTCCTTGTCCAAGGGTAGCAGGCTGCTCCCCAGCCCCACATGATATTAGCAGCTGAAAATGGCTTTGCAGAGCTCACTGCAGAAGCCAAGCCACAGAGACACTGGTACCATGGACAGAGAAGGCAAGGGTACCCATGCTTCCTGGAGATTTGCGATGGTCCTCCACATCCCACTCAACTTTCATTTTCTGTGACTTCAAAATAGTTTGTGGTTCACCACATCGATTTTCAGGTATTTGTAGGGCATGTAATGAAGACCTACTGTGACCAATCACAGGCATCTGACACAGAGTAAGAGCAATACTGACCTATTTGTCTGTCTGCCCATCCATCCATCTACTCATGGCATGTCTAAGAAGCAGACAATCACAGCTCAAGTTCTTTCTAACAGGCCTCTGAAGAGATGTGAGTGGAGGTGACAGACAGCCATACCTTGGTACCTACTGGTGGGGACTGTCCAGCTTACAAAGGAGACAGAAGAGACAGAGGTCTGCACAGACGAGGTCTCCAGTGCACTGGAGGAGAAAGAAAGGGCTAGTAGGCAAGAGACCTGATACAATGATGTCAAGGAGATTTAGTTAGGGGTCACAGCTGGCTTTGGAGGGCACTGCCACTGGGCAAGGCCCAGTGGCATGAGGACAACAGGCTGGAGAAGCACTGAAGAGGACCATGTAAGGAGCCTAGCCATAAAGGATCTCTGGGAGAACCAGCAAGCAGAGGTCTAGTGTGGAGGGAGAGGCTGACAAAGAGGTGAGGCTAAAAGGCTCCAAGGAGACAGGTCACAGAAGGGCCTTGCACAGGCAGCCCACAGACACATGTCCATGAGAAGCTAGTTGTTGTCTTGTCGAGTTGTGTCCCAAGGTCTTAACGATGCCTCTTTAAGGAACTAGTGGGGACATATAGATCAAATCTGACACACACAGCTCAGAGTGTGCAGGTTACTTTGCCATGGCAACTTTGAGAGTAGGACATTGCTTTTGATTTGATTCTACCACAGTTTGTGACTGTCTTTATAGAAAGTATCAGGGAAAGTGTGAAGCCATAGAGATGACTACAGCAGGTCCACAGCCCCCGTGTCCCCATCATGGGATCCCCTCTGAGCCTCAGCTTCCTCACTCATAGGACAGGGTGAGAATACAGCTGCTCTGCCTGCCTTTGGTTTCTCAAGTTAACAAATACCAGGTCCCTTGTCTGCTCCGTTCACTGTTTCTACCTCAGAGCCTAGGATGGATCCTAGAACTATTACTACCTAGAAATTCTGGGGTTTGAAGTATTATTTCTTTAGCAAACTACATTTATCACAGTTTTGGGAATTTGTTTGACTTTCTAGACTTCATTTGAAAAATCAAAGAGTGAAAGCCAGTCTGGGTCTTTAATCAGGAAAAAAGAAAACATGGCTACCATACAGCAATGACCAGACACCGAAGCCATTTGAGGTAGATTGGCAGACCCCTTGCCTAGTATGCTTGAAACTGAGGGCTGGATCCCCAGCACTGCATAACCCAGGCATGGCAATCTATGCCTGCAATGCCAGCACTTGGAAGGTAGACGTGGAAGATCATATGTTCAAGGTTATCCTTGGCTATACGGAGAGTTCAAAACCATCTCCAGCTATCAAAAAAGAAAGAAAGAAAGAAAGAAAAGAAAAGAAAAGAAAGGAAGAAAAAAGGGAAATCACCAAACCAAAGACACTTGACCTTTTGGTACAGACAAGCCCCTGTTCTCATGACCCCACAGGAAAGGCCTCTAGGGTCTTTAACAGTAAACTTATGCCATGTGGTCCCTCCATGTGCTGCTCACATGTTTTACCTCATACAAGCTGTCCAGGCATGCTACACACAGTCAGCACACTTTTGTCCCTGCTGGGTTCAATTCAGGCTAACCCAGACTAGAAGAAGGAGCCACCTTCGCAGAACCTAGAGAGTACCAGGCAGGGAGCTGTGTACCAGGCCTGAACCCCATACCCAGCATGAAGCAAGGTATGCACAGAACAGACCTCCCAGTCTGGATCCAAATCCAGCTTTGGCTTCCACCTTCCCATGCAGCTCAGTACAGCTTTGTGGAAAGTAAGTTAACAACATAGCATTCTAAAATGGAGGGTGTGCTTTCGGCTCTGAGCCTGCCTGTGGTTCATACCACCGGGCAGGGGCCTGATACACTGACTGGGTGAACAGATGGCCTGGGCCATGCCCTCAGTGACTCCAGGAAGGCCTATCAAGTGGTTTATTCTTGCATCTGTCAGGGGCCTGTTTTATGCAGTGTCAGTGCTGATGGCTTAAGCAAAGGAATGCAGGCTATGCATCTCAAATCTGCAAGCAGCATCGAATGAAGGGGCATTTCTAATACTGAAATGCAAGAACCTAGGCTGTAGTAACCTGAGCAGCTGGAAAGAGCAGTACATTTAGTGGGAACAGATTTGAGTCCAGATTGGTCTCCTCATCTGTCAGGATAGGAGTTTCAATTAGCCCTTCAAGAACTGTAGGGGGGCAGAAATTAGACAGGAGGTTTTTGCAAAAAGCAGGGCTGGGCTGAGCA